TTTTGTGCATGGGTGGTAGACCTACACCAACATTCATAAACAAGATGAACCGGCAACTCAAATCGGTGGTAATTTTCATCAGCCACTATGGATGCAGCATTTATGGATTAAGTTAAGCCTGTATCTCCTTCCCAATCTCAAAAGAATCTGTGCAAAGAAATTTACCATTTTAGCTGGAGGTTTTGGCTTCTGCTGAAGAGCTTTCTTGGCCTTTGCTGCAGCAGCTTGAGCCTGGTGGATCCGTTCTGCAAACACAAATTAATGGTTAGAACTCCTGAACAGAAGCAAACGGATTTAAGAAAGAGGCCAATTCAGAACTGTAAGGTCATCTTCAGACAAGAAATCAAGTATGTGCACCGTCATGTACTAGTGCAAAGAAAAATATCAAGTAAAATTAGCCCAAAAGGCTGAGAATAAGACACAGAAGAAGTTGTGAATGTACATACATGCACAGTTCTTGTACCCAGGATGCTGTTTTTCAAAGAAATACTTCAAACTGACACACTGCTCTGCAAGACTGGATTGAAGTGCTGATGGGCTAGCATTAGCAAACTGATTACAGAAAAAAGCTAGACTGAAAAATTAATGTTCATTATCCAGCTGGACTGAAGAAGCTCAAGAGATTTACAAACATTTTCAACCCTTAAAGATATCACCAAGCCAGGCTTACCGAACTCTTCCTCGCTCCTGTCCCGGTGCAAGTAGATCCACAACTTGCGTCCAATATCGTATTTCACACAGGGATCTTTCTCATAATGTAATCGATCCAGCGCACCGCTAACAACAGTATTAACCTGAAAGTTCAGAATTCACAGAACTACAAGCTGTCCCTGGTTGGGCTAGCCAAAAGAGAAACATAAATGAAAAGCAACCCTATTTGGCATAAAACCTAGGTAAGATGCTAGCAATCCATATGAGCATGGACTGACTGAAAGCAGATGTTGCAGCACAGGATGCTGTTTGCCACCCTGGATTAAATGGAGCTTCCACCAAAGCTGAGAGCTCTGAAAATGGACTGTTTCTGAATCTAATACGTGAGCAGATATATGCCACAGTGTTAATTCAGTGTCTTTTCTAGCTGTTTTTTCATCATCCAGAGCTCGATGCAGATTTGCAGCAGCTCGCCAGAGTAGAACACAACTCTCATTTGCTAGTCAAAGCAGCATAAAAAATTATCGGGCCTCTGCCACTGAATACTGCCCAGGTCTGCACAGTATATTTTTAGGAGAATCTGTTCGAGGCTAGAAATGACATCAAACTTACTTGAGCACTTGTGACATCAGGAGCTAGGAACTGGGAATCTTTAAGCAGCTCACAGATTTCAGCACGAGTTCCTTCTCCATTAGGAAGGCGAGCAGCAGCATCACGAACTGAAATATAAAATCAGAAGTTAAAGCTTCCAGCCCTAACTAGGTATTCAAGTACTTCGGCAGATACACTTTGATATTGTGCTCTTGTCCCTGCTCTCTCTCTCCCCTGCTCACTAAAATCTAGCTCCCGTGATCCCTCAGAGATATGACCACAGATTATAAAGGATCATTTTACATTACAGCAACTGTGCTGGCTTTGTGCTAGGAGTGATGAACTTGGGGGAACAGCACTGAACCCCAGGATGACTTTGCAATGCCCCAACTTCACAACAGTGTACTGAAACCACCACTCTCTTGTTTTCCAGTTAGCTGACCTTTGGCTTCAGCCAGCCCCATGGACTCTCCTCCCCATTTCACATTTTCTCTCAGATCAACAGCAACACAGAGATGCCTTTTTTTCTAGTTTTTCCTGCTCCCGGCATTTCATCACCTTTATTTCATACCATTTATTTCTTCTTCACTTATGCGATCCCAGCCTGCCCATCTTTTCCCTTTATAATGTAGATACCTAAAGTCATTGCTCAGGGCAGGTCAGGGCAGCCTTTTTCTATTTAAAAAAATTTTTTGGCCATCACCTTACCAAGGGACAAGATGGTGACATATGCAGGTCTGTCTGAGCGTAGGAGAGAATGCTCTCGGGCTTTGTTTAATGAAGTTTCCTTGTCAAACACCCCCTTCACAGGCCCAACAACTGACTCAAAGCCATGCATACGGAAAGTGAAAGCTTTGTGGGGCTGGCTGTAACGGTAACGCTCCTGTATTTGGAGACAAGAGGACTGAATTTAGCAGGAATTTTGATATTAAGCAGCTTTTAAAATTACGATGATGCTCTTCTTACCTGCTCCTGAAACACACGTTTCTCCTCTCCAGTGCTAGGTCGGACTACATAGTCAGTCCTTCTGAAACAAAAGTCACCATCAGTTCTGAGCAACAAGCCCACGACCATCCCAAAGAACGCCCCAAAGGATTAGTCATCTCATCCTTTCTGCAATTTCTGAAAGCATTTATTATGACAATGTAAAGTAGGTCTGCAGAGATCTTAAAATACGCTCTACACTTAAGGTAAGCAATGACTGTAAATACTCCAGTTATCAGGACATAACTTGGGGAAAAATCAAGTGACTTTGTGTAAAATCAGACTACTGAGTTGCCTCCAGCCCCAGGATGTAAAACCTTTTTATTTTAGGCAACCAGCCATTCGGATCCAAAAGCACAAGGACCAAACTTCATATCTTTATCATGCACTGCAGAAGCTTTCAAGCAGTATTATATACTTACACTCTGGGAACTGGTGTTGTGGCATCTGAGCTGTCTTCATTTTCCTGTAAAAAAACAGATAAATTTCAATGTTGGATGGAACCCAGTCAGGTTTTGTGCTGCTAGAATGTGAATTTTACTGACTCACTTTGAAAAAAGTCTGGTCTTTGGTCTCCAGCCACAGCTGAAACAGTGCTGCCAATTCCTTCTCGTGATCTTGGCAGGAACCTAGTCGAAAAAAATCAGGAAAAATAAGGAAAATAAGTCCTTTATTTGTTATGAAGCCAGCTGCTTGTACCTCCCAGTCACCTCCTACTCCCCTCCCACCTCTACACATCACCAGTCACACGGCATTTTCCATACTTCACAGATGCTCCAATTTCAATATGTGAACACATCCAGACTTAAGGAAGTGCAAAAACCTAGTTATTGTCCTAGGCTGGTACAAAGGACAGCGCTTCAACCCCTGGCATAGCAGGCAAGACACTGAGACACAGCCACCTGCTATTTGCAGATTGTTCCTACTCCCCAAAGTAATCCCAGTCTCTGAACAATCAGAAGCCAGGCTCCGCAGAAGGGAAAATATGAAGATGTTCAGACAGATTTGGAGGGTGACATAAATGCAGTTAGGTCAGCAACATAAAGAAATAAAGCCCAGTGCCTTTGCTCACTTATTCTCTGTTTGCTGCTGATACTAATGTCTTGTGAAAACCTAGAATGTAAAACACATCTTTGCTCAGCTAAAAGAAAAGGAGTAACGAATGAATTAACAGCTCTGCTTGTCTTTCTCTCCAAGTCCTGGAAAAAACAAACCAACCTTTACTATAGTAGAAATCATAGGAGAGCACAAGGTACTCACCAAGCAATTTCCACTGCTGAGTTTTTTCCTTGAATTCAACAAAAGGTGAGAAGCTGGAAGGAACATCTACAATGAAAAATGTGCACATCAGAGACATCACACAATCGTCCAACCCCCAAATCCTGCTGTTGCAATACTAGCTGTTTGAGTGAGACTCATAATGACAGATAAAGCATTTCAAGTCATTATGTAAGTGCATCTCTGAATTTCCACTTGCCTGAAGGGAATGTAAGCATCTCAGAGTAACAGCGCAAGCACAAGAAAAGAACAGAACAGGACAGCGAGTCTTTCATCTACAAGCTGTCAGATGAGAGCCTGTTCATGCCGTGAGACACCAGGAACCGTTACTGCACGGTGACTATTCCTGGGCTCACAGGAAGCAAACTCGGGATTTACAGTGCTCACCAGCGTTACGGAGAACATTAAGTATCCATGCTGCAAAGGCCACTACAATCTACACTGTCTCTCCCTTTAAAACTTCCCACTAGGCAAATGAGAACCACAGAATAACTTAGTTTGAAAGGAACGTCTGAAGCGCAGCTGGTCCAAGCCCCAGGTCAAAGCTGGGCCAATTTCACGTTTCCCATGGATTGCTCAGGGCACCATCTAGTTTATTTTTTATTATCTCTGAAGACAACCACAATGTCTTCACACCAGGAAAAGACTAATTTCTTCCTGCCTCAAACATTCTGCCTGAAGCACATGATCTGAACAGGAGAAACTGTCTTTCTAGAGGCAATTTCACACACATTTTCACATACTCGGGAATCAAGCTGGGTCTCATCTACTATCCAGATGCAAAACCAGTTTACCACAATTGAGAAATGTAAGCCGTAAAGCCTATCATAGAAACACTGTCAACAATACAATGATTTATTGTAGTGATGAATTAAAAGTTGATTTGAGCTATAACAGAAACCAGCGCTGATTAGAACTGAGGTACAAGCATCATTAGAATTTTTAACAGCCATTCTCACCTCTGCTGTCACCTGTCAAGTACTGCAAGGCAGGTAAAACCAGTTCAGACCAGTTAGGGGCAAAGGAGAACCAGTTGTTTAGTGCACTGGCAGGAGATGATTGCCAATCTAGAATTTTATCTTCAAGCTGAAGAGGAAAAATAAATATTCTATTAAAGATCTCACACTTTAAACTATGTCTGTTTTAACAAAAAACAGAACAGCTAAACATATCCAGGGGACAAAAAAGATTTCTACGTATGTATATAAAAAAAAAATCACCTGACTTTTTCAAGTAACCATAACATGGTATTTTAGACAACAGACACCAAAAAGGGGAAAAAACCTTCCCCACTGTCTCTGCCCTTAATATATAGAATATATCTGACCATGATCTAAACAGGTATGGAAAGACTTAAATATTCAACTGACCAAATTGATGACACAAGTTAAAAACAGAATGTGGTATGTGCTCCCAAAGGGTTTCAGTTCTTTAATATGTAATCTACATCTTATTATAATTTACAGGACAGCTCTGGAGAAAAATCTCTATTACATAGCTATAAAACCCTCTATCCCCTCATTTTGCTTTCTGCAAAGATTCCTAGATAAGTGGGTGGTTCCTTACCACAGAGAGAGTAGCAGGTCCTTCCAGAAACAGTATCTCCAAAAGAAGGAAAAAGAAGCTGGAAGATATTTCATTTATTCCGAGGCACGGCTTCATCTCTTCAAGAGGTCTTCAAATGAAAGAGAACACAGCAGAATAAGTTATCTGAGTAAATATCCACCTTCAAATACAAAGATGAACACCACACACTTCACACAGCCCAAGCTGCACAAAACCAAAGCCTGCAAAAGTCCCACAAAAATCTGAGCTGCCACCTGTGTTGCTCTCCCCATCCGTGCAAGGTGTTTGGGGCCCTTGGAAGCACTTACTCCTCTTTGACAGACGACAGAGGGATGGGGGAAGGATCCTGCGACATCGGTGGGATTCCATCTGCATTGCTAAGAGAGTCAGCCAAATCTTCCACCTCAGATTTAATAATCTTCAGCTTTTTTTTCTTCTTATCGTCCTTTTCCTTCACCTTTTTCTTGAGGGTTGCAAGGTCAAATAAGGCTTTAGATACGATAAAAGGTAAGAAGAATAATGAGAAAAATTTATTACCATGTTTCACTGAGAATCCTAAATCCACAAAGAGCAAAAATCTATCAAGGCCACCTTCACCCTCAGCTTTTCACACACACAGGATACTCTATATTCATGCAGTGCACAAGTACCGTTATGCAAATCACTGACCTGCTAAAGAACCCTTCCTGCCAGCATTTACTCGAGTCATAATGTCCTCAAGAGTCACGTCTGTCGTCACCAGATCAGGGTGGTCCTACACAGGACAATGGGACCGAAATTAAAATTGGGAAAAGACAAAGTGTTAAGATAGCAACAAGGGTACAGAAGATAACCAAGCACTGAAATGCCCCAAAATTGTCCAGAATCAGCTTATAAAGTTATTTACTGCAATAAAAGTTGGGAAGTCTTCTAACCGTGAAATCCAAAATTTAGGCTCTCCAATACACATCACTAAAATCACTAAATCCTCCTAAATGGATTAGCATAAACAGAAGTTGCATATATATGCTGACAATTAAATACAGGTTACAATAAAGAGTTGAAGGGTGGTTGCACACAAAAAAGTAGCGATCATTTTGTCACCCAGAAGTACCTGAACTTTACAGCTAACAGACAAAAGACTAATAGATAAAACACAGTCCCACCCCCTCCCAGACCTCTTGACATCTTACAGGTTGACGTTTTCGTTTCTCATGGTGCTTCCGCAACATGATCTTCAGATCTCTTTCCCCAAGTTCTATCTTGTCTGCAACGAAAAAACATTCAGTGATTATTTGCACACAATGTTTTCCATTATTGTTACTTTACAGACTTCTTCGAATGCCATTTTCTATCCATTTCCACCTTCAACAATCTCCAAATTTCAACAACCAAATTTTCCTTATTTGAACTTCATTCCTTTAGTCAACCAATTTATGTAAACACCTTTTTCTCTGGGTGATCAGATTTCATAGTTGAGGCGAGTATGGAAGTGAAAACAAGCGAGAACCAGCTGTGCAGCAGGAAGGGTTTGCAGACTTGATTACAGTAACCCTAGGAGGGATTCCCTCAGCACTTTCACCAAAATATTTCAGACTGGACTACGCTAACGCTTCAACCATTAAAGGCCACATATGACAGAGAAATCAGTAGTATATTATATGAACTGTAGACCCTCATGTTAAAATACCAGCCTTCCAAGGAGAAAAAGATAAAACAAACTGAGAGAAAAGCCAACTGTTTTGGACACTGCAAAAACAAAGCACTATATGATTTCCTATCAAACAACAGATTTTCAAACTCATTTCTTGCAGGGTCTCAAAGTAATTCACACCCCTGAATCTGTATTGACCCCTGGTTTGGTTCTCACCTGCTGTTTTCATGTCCATGGTTGACAGCGTGGGGATCACTCTCAGGGGAACTGGTGGACTTGGACAACGTGATGGAGAGCTTGGAGGCCAGGAGCTTAGATCTAAAATAAATAGAGAAATACATTTATTTCTGCAAGACGTAGAACCAATCTACATAACTCTATTCCCCTGTGTTCAAAGCCAATAAAATTGAATAAAAATAGTGTCCAGTCTCCATTCTTCTACCAAAGACACTGTCCCCACATCAAAAATTTGTCTTTCTCCATTCACATAAAAAAATCACCTTTCTCCATTCACACCTCGAGTCTTTAGTTCAGTGCAGGGCATTACCTTCTTCATCAGAAGACAAGGTAGTGTCTCCACACTCCTCTTTCACTTCCCTCAGAATCTTCAAGTAGCGCCGATGTGTCCGTCTTTCTCGTTCTTCTGTGTCGTACGTTGTCATGGAGAAGTGCTTCCTCCTTCGGGTCATATCAGGGCCTCCTTTCCTAGCTAACTCCAGCAAGTGCTGGAAGATGAGATACGTGTGACATTAGCTATCCCAGCTATGGTGTCATAAACTGGGAAAGACAAGCTTAACTCACACAGTTTCAGCAAGTTTAACATGTTGGTGCAGTAAGCACGTCAGGTCTTCATGTGATAACCCTTAAAAAGCGTCAGTATCTGCCACATACAAGACTTTACACCCAGCACTTTAGACGACCAATAAAAGAGGGAAAAAGCAAAGAGGAACCTCTGCACCTTCATCTGCACATACAATACCTCACGGTCATTTTATGTGGACTGCTGAGACTAATTAACCACTGGTCAGAGATTGGTTTGTGCAGTTTCCATGCCAAATAACTAACACAGACGTGAGAAACTGTCTCTTTTGAAGAAAACATTTTACTCCTTATGACTACAGAGAAAATAACTTCCTACACACTTCTGTATTCTTTTTCTTATATCACTGTGGGGTGTTTTAACAAGACAGACTTTCACCTTCATCCGTATGTTTCAGCATCTAAGCATAATGAAACAATCAACGAGCAAGGATTTACAATGAATACATTTCAGCTAGCAGCAATTAGCTGACAACAGTATCCACAGATAAAGACTTCCTCGGGGTTTAACAGGCACCAGAATCAGTTTTGTGTCTATTCTACAGCACTCCCCAGTGAATCTGGGAATTCATACAACTACATAGTTAGCAATCTCACTTGTTTCAGAAGGACGGAAATGGTAGAAAATGAAGGCAGAATGATTTGTTAATAGGACATTAAAGTGCAAGGGGGCAAACACAGGAGTGGGGGACAAGGTGGGCATGGAAAAAAGACCCTATACACAAGCAAGAGCTATGTGAGTTTCAAAACATGAAATTTACAAACCTAACAACGCATTCTCATATTATAGGGGCCACTGGAAAACCAGAAAAGCAGCATTCATTAAAGGAAAGGCCTCAGACAATTACAAATGCACAAATACCAAGACAACCTATCTATTAAAGAACACAAGAAAGCAATGACCGCGTCCCGAAGACACTCACATTGCGAGATGCGAGAATCTGCTTAAGCAGTCGGTAGAAGTACTGCTGCTGAGAGCTCAGGTAGCGTTTGTACTGGGACTTAAAGCACAGCTGCCGGTATTTCACAACTTCAGGATTGAAGTGTCCATCTGTAAGAAAGAAGTAAAAAACACTTAAGTTTTCATCAACTGCTAGTTGAGAGCTTAACCCCAAAAATACACAGAAGTTTATTATGCTCACTGACCCCGGAAGAGTTTCTGGGCGATGTGCAGTGGATTTCCAAAACGGAAGTTTTCACCGCTGAACAACGCAGAGATGAGTTTGTTCTGATGCTCTCGGTTGTTTTCAGGAAAGTGAGGCAGGAATTTTTTCAGGTGGTCTTGCTGCGCATCTGTCAGCACCTCCTGCCACGTGGACAAGCTGACCACTTCAAAGAAGATCTCAGGCTAAAGAAAGCAAAAAAACAACAGTGAAGAAAACGCATCCACGTCCTTGACAATCTTCTAGCCCTTAAGGCTTTTAGTGGTTAAATGACACAAGACAGGAGAGTGTCTCATGTCAAATGAAGAAAACAACAGAGTGTAAAGAGAAAAGGTGAGGAAACTAATGACACTATTAGCAACAAGAACATAAACTCAAAACTTGCAACAAACAAAATGTCATCAAAGAAATTTTTAAAGTAAGAGAGATTGCTATCTAGAAAAAAATAACATAACAGAATGGTTTTAAAAGCTTTCCTGGGATTAATCAAAGTCTATTTGAAACATCTTCCAGGACAGTCAGAAACATCTCCCCTCTTTTTAGTTTGCTCTGCAAGCCCCACAAAGGGAGTTAAACATACGGTTTATCAAAGCTCTGAAAAGGTATCCTGGCACTACTCACATCCTCCAGAAGGTCCTCGGGCAGGCTGACCCGGGTGGTGCCCAGCATGCAGTCCTCCATGATGCGCGTGCCATTGCCTTCCCCGCAGGGTCCCAGCTCCAGGGGGTCCGTCAGCATGTGATCCAGCGAGTCCATTCTGCACCCTGTCCCGCTCCTGGACAACACCAGCAAACCCTCAACAACTCAAAACGCCAAACCCACACCTCCCGAGCTGAGGAACGACTGAGCAGACCCCTTTGATGGAGTGGATGTTTAAATACAAGCGCTAGAATTGGGCGGGGAGATGTGTAAGGTATCACAGCACGGATTTACTGTTCCATCGCAACCCAAAGAAACACTTTTCCAGTCAGAGTGTCCCCAGGCTGACTGGAAAATCCAGGTGACCCCTTTCCTTTTGCTTCCCACCCACCTGAGCTGTTGTCCATAGAACTAAATACCACAAAACCCTACATCTAAACCCTCAAAGTGGTTATAACATGCAAAAACCGAGCGACAGACCGAACTTAGGGTGTTTCTCCGCTTGAATTTACAGCGATGACCGGGCCAAGAGCCCTGCTCCCCTCACACACACAGCAGGGACCAGCTGGGCACCCCCAGGGTCCAGAAAAACCCCTGAACCACGCGGAATAAACCAACATAAATTAAAAAAAAATTAAATAAACCCTTAAACCACGGTCGTACAGTTAGAAACGACAGAAAAAAAACACATTTCATACCCGCTTCGCTGCCTCT